ACTGAGTGAATTGTTATGTAAATTAGCAATTATCTCAGCTTCTTTTTAGTGCACATCCCAGAACTTTAAAAAAATAGCTCTCAGACGCTTTGACCTTTTGTTTTGAAATTTTCACAAACGATTGACAATGTGTTTATCTTCAAACCGCCGTCAGGGCATTGTTTTTGGTTGAACAGAGTTACAACAATCGTACAGACAACTAGCCTGGGTGTTAATTTATGCATAAACTTTAAGTAGTGAAATTTAAGCTGCTGCCCTGCAAAATTGACAACTGGTAGACAGTTTTCAAGACGGCACTTTCTTCATAGTAAACAGATGTACCAATAAACCAATTTTGACAGGAAACAAGAGCATGGTTTAAAAGCTAATTTTTCTTAAATCGCTTTTGACCAAAAGAGCACATTTTTGTGCATATTTCAAACTACAGTGTCCATAGAAAAAAAAATACTAACAAAATTTTAAAATTCATACAATAAGCTTTCTGAAAATATATAGTTTTGTGGACAAGGGAGGTCATCTTGGTTTCCTAATTAACTAATTAAAATACCTGTCAGGTAAACTGCATCTCTACCTTAACTGGCTAGGTTGGTATGAGGGTGTAAGTGGGTGGTTGGGTGGGTTTCAACTGGGTATTCATGTATCTTATTTACCCCATAGCAGTACAGTGCACCTTAAGGGAACAACAAGTACGGCATAATAGGAAAGGATGCTGGGAAAATTGTAACATCATTGGAAATGAACACAGTTATAAAGAGTGCTAGCTGTAGAGATAAGAAATTAATAAAAGTTAAGACTTCATGTTCCATCTGAAAAAAACTAAAATAAATATGTTATGTAAACAATATAGAGAAAAAATTAGGGATGTTTTCAAATTGTTGAATATGTGCCAAAATTATTTTGTTTTTGGGAAGAAGGTCAAATTTTTTATTTTCATAGTTAAAAATAATTTTGTGTGTGTTTTCAGTCTGTCAAAATTATCTTAATACTTTCGTGTACAAAGGAGGGGGTATGATCCAAAATAAAATACCTTTGTCAATTTGAAAACATCCTTTAGTTCATGGCATTGGCAACAAGTATAAGTATCAAGATATTATCATCATACATGTCTAATATGCAAACCAATGTCTACAATATCACCATATATGACTAATATGCAAATCATTGTATATAATATCACCATATATGGCTAATATGCAAATCAATGTTTACAATATCACCATATGACTAATATGCAAATCAATGTATACAATATCACATATATGATTAATATGCAAACCAATGTCTACAATATCACCATATATGGCTAATATGCAAATCAATGTATACAATATCACATATATGACTAATATGCAAATCAATGTATACAATATCACATATATGGCTAATATGCAAATCAATGTATACAATATCACATATATGACTAATATGCAAACCAATGTCTACAATATCACATATATGGCTAATATGCAAACCA